ATATGCCAGTACAGAGAATGAAACAGGCAAAGAAGGGCTATGAGGGAGAGCTAGCAGCCACTCACCCAAACGGCCTGCACACACCAGTGACCTTCCTGCCACACAGCTTGGCCTTCCAGGCCTCTGGGGTCCCCACCGGTGACCTGAAGTTCCAACCAGAGGCAAGTATTTGGGAGTTCTCCTGGAGGCCACAGCCCAATCCACTGAGCCTTGCTCCTGGAATGCCCCAGCACCCTCAACTCTCCAACCCCTGATGCCTGGCTCAGTCCCTCCCTGTCCAGGCTGTCCTGGAAGGTGTTCCTGCCATCCTGAATCCGGTCTGTGTGCCCCCTGCTGGGTGGAAGTCCTCTGAGAGCACAGACTGTGGCCTTTCACCAACACCTCTCTGGAACTGTGTGCAGGGCCTGGCACAGAGCAGACAGAGAGCGTGAGCTGAAGGGATAATTTTGTATTTAAGGAACAATTAGTCTCTCCCTGACCTTGCCGCCACTGGCATGTGTTTCAGTAACAGCAGATGTCCACTACATCATTCCACATACTCTTTTCCTGAACCTCATGAGTTCGGTCACAAGTGAGCTACATTTGATATTTTTGACTTGCAAATACTATAACCCTCAGACCTGAGCTAGTACCCAATGTATATTGAGTTTCTTAAAAGAAACCGGTTGTTGTTGCAGTGATCGCAGCGATCATTGTATGAACATTTTGATGACAGAGTCAAAGAATTCTTATCACCAATGTGATAAAAAATATAAGAGAATCTTCCTTCCTCTAGCTTATATTGGTCTGTCCAGTGTGCGCAATGTATTCAAACTGCCTTTATAAAGCCACATTTCCCCAGCATGCCGAAGCTGAAAGTCAAGTCAATGATACAGCCTATCAAGTGGACCCCTTTAACTTGCTGGGTATACTAAAAAGACATTTATTTTGGCAAATATAAGGACATATGTAGTAAGTCTACATGGATACATAAATAGTGGAGATAAACACAGTTGAACAACACAGGTTGGAACTGTGCAGGTCCACTTATATGTAGATTTTCTTCAATAAATACAGTATAGTACTGTAAATATTTTTCTTCCTCCTGATTTTTGCAATAATGTCTTCTTTTCTTCAACTAACTCTCTTCTAAGAATACAGCATTTGATACATGTAACATACAAAATATGTGTTAATCGACTACTTATGTTATCAGTAAGGCTTCCAGTCAACATAGACTATTAGTAGTTAGGGTTCTGGAGAGTCAAAAGATACACATGGATTTTCAACTGTGCACAGGTCGGCACCCCAAACGCCCCACACCATTCAAGAGTCAACTGGTATATACATGTATTTGTGTAGAGATACATAGATATACACATTTCCAGTTGCCTTTGTCTATTTATCTATGTAGTGTGTGCGGCATGTCTTTAAAAGAAAAAAAAAAACACAAGGTAAATAAACATTTTCCCAAACTGTCCCTCAGCATTCCTCTCTCCTTAAAAATCTCCTATGGTTTCTCAGTCTGTTCCTTTTTACCTAGGGAAATAGGCAAACTCTATACATTTGGTTTCTTTAGTGTAGCAAGCACCCTTGTTTATGTTCAGAACATTTATAGTCTCCCTTAAGAAAAAAACATCTAACAAGCTTCTTTGCTGATAGTGATGAAGAATTTATCAGAGATTAAAGCACAATTAACCTGCATTCCAAGTTGCTACTCAGAGCAGGAAATTCCAACTCCTGAAAACAAATGCTTACACTACCTACTGTTGATATGAACACTAACCTCACTACACATCATGAACAAGAACTCACTTGTTACCTCTTCTTTGAACTTAAGTTAAAATTATAAAATGGGGGGCACCTTGGTGGCTCAGTGGGTTAAAGCCTCTGCCTTCGGCTCAGGTCATGATCCCAGGGTCCTGGGATCAATACAGGGCTCGATCCTGTCTCGGGCTCTCTGCTTAGCGGGGGGGGGCCTGCTTTCTCCTCTCTCTCTCTGCCTGCCTCTCTGCCTACTTGTGATCTCTCTCTGTCAAATAAATAAATAAAATTGTTAAAAAAACTTATAAAATGGTATGATGGCCTCATGTGAAACCCTGGTTGAGTTTACTTGTATTTATGAAACTATTGCTTCTTCTACATGGGAAGAGTCTAGCACCCAGTGAATGAATATGAATGAATGAATGACAAATCAAGAGACCAAGTAGATGTCAGTCATTAGAAGGCAAAATTTGTAAAATTGAATAATGAATCAGTTATTATAGATAAACACATCACATATACTATTATGTCATAAAAATAAGGAAAGGAAAAGTGAATTGGGGGAAATCGGAGGAGGAGATGAACCATGAGAGACTGTGGACTCTGAGAAACAAACTGAGGGTTTTGGAAGGGAGGGAAGTGGTGGGATGGGTGAGCCTGGTGGTGGGTATTAAGGAGGGCCTGGATTGCATGAAGCACTGGGTGTGGTACATAAGCAATGAATCTTGGAACACTGAAAATAAAATTAAATTAAAAAAATAAAATAAAAAAATAAGTGTAATAATAGATAGCTACTTTATTGAGTTGTAAGGCATGTGCAAATAGGTAATAAACAGTAATGATAGTTGAGCAGCAAGTGATAGTATTAAGTAAATAACATTTAGTTAAATAACATTTGGTTAAAGAACCCGTGAGCCACGCTGAAATTACCAAAACAGAAATGGGAAGAAAAATAACTGAGGCCCAAAGTTGGCAAAATGACACCTGTCTGAGGTGTCACTCCTTCACAGTCTCTCACTAAACTAGAGCCCAGGTGAGACTGCCACGTCCTTTCAGGACTTGAAACGAATTGTCTCATGCAGAAACACAGTTGCTTCTAGAAATATACAATGTTAAGAAAATAAATCACATTATTTCTCTTTACACTTGGGTCTACTGAAAAAATCTTGCTCAAAACAGCAAAAAATTATCTTCTGTCATCACCACTGATACTAACAAATGTGCTGGTCTGAGTGGTGTAAAGTGAACAGACAGAGCTGGGAAGCCCCTCAGCTCATCCCTTGCTCTCCCCTAGAATCTGGTAGCCAATCACATCATTTCCCAACTACAGCGCTATTGTCCTGGGCACACCTGTGTCATAGCATCCTATTCCCACCACACCAGAAGCCTCCACTCGGCTGGGGCCTCTGTTTGACTCCCTATCCCAGCTCCTGCCCAGACATCCCTTCCTCCTTCTCTCTCTCCAGGTCATCCTAATTTACTCCACCACTTCCATGGAAGCTTTTTTTCCCATTTGACTTTCATGGCCCACTTCAATGGTGAGCTCAAGTTTACTGCAAGCCCACTGAACTCCAGTATTTCTAATTGCGAGCGTTTGTGCACAAGGAGTGTCTCACAGACTTCAGCGACCCTTACAGTACCTAGCACAGTGCTAGGGGATGATAGGTACTCAGTAAACTTGGGACTAATGTATCATAGGTACTCAATAAAACTCCTTTATCTACCAAAGACACAGAAGTGCTCAACTGAGGTAAATTACCCCATGGATTCAATCCAAGGAATAGTTTGTATTAATTACCAACCTACTTAAGGCAAGAATGTTTTCTGGTCTTAATTATTTGGACTATTATTTTAATTGTCACTTCTCAATTAAAGACTCCACCATATGCTTGCAAAACACTGACAGCTGAATTTTCACAAACAAGGTAAACTTAACAAAATATTCTCCAAGGTTAGTTTTCCAACAGCATTCTGAAAGGGATCACTGACGTCATCACACATAAAACTCTTAGGCTTCCAAATTTTGTGTTAGGTAGCTCTCACTAGGAATGCTCCAGATTCTCTGGTTTGAAATGTCTACATAAATACCTCAATCCTTCCTTCCCATCTCATTGTAAGAGATATCCAAAAGCAGTATGTAGGGGTTAAAATGTTTCCAAATAGCAAGACTGTTACTTTCCAGAAAAACAAAACAAAACAAAACAAAACAAAACAAAACAAAAAAACCCCCCAAAACCAAAAAACCCGTATCACCAAAAGAATGTAAAATGTTTCCTTCGCGAGGGGTGAGGGGGATCTATTTTAAATTTACAACTGCTTTAAAAAAAAAAAAAAAAGGCTTCAAGAACCCCCAAATTGAAGAATGTTGGATGAAAGACTGGCAGAGCCCCTTGGAGAGCTCCGGTGTGGCCCCTCCCTCCAAACCCGAGTTCTTAAAACACATTTCTTCTTTCAGCCTGCAAAACGTAGCCCTGCCCCGAAATCATTCCATTTAAAAAGCCCCCACCCTCGAGGAAACATTAATCTACTTTGCAAACATGCGTTCCAGTCTATGCTTTGCTGGTTTTTTTTCAATTCCTTTCCTCCCCACCCCCACTTTTTTTTTTTTTTTATACCTTGAGACAAATGTTTTTTTCCCCCAGAGTTGAAAGCTGTCCAAAAACAGGACCACACACGCCGCCGCCTCCGCAGGCCCGCGCTGCGCCCGCCCCCCCGCCCTCCCCGGCGCGGCGGCCGCGGCCGCCGGGGGCGCGCACACTCCTTCCAGCCGGAGGGGTGGCCTCTCTCCGCACCCCCCCTTCTTTCTCTTTGGACGCGGTGGGTGGGGGTGGGGGAGGGAAGGACGCCGAGGACTAGCGCCAGGAGCCGAGAGGCCTTCCCCCAGCAGCGTCTCGGGCGCAGCAGAGGCGAGCGGCGGCGGCGGCAGGCCCCGGGGACCCCCGGGCGCGCGGAGTGGTCCGGCCCGCGGAGGGGCCCCGCGCCCCCGCCGGCCCGCCCTCGCCACTCTCTCCCACAACACCTAGCAAAGCGCAGCGCCCCGAGTAGATTACAGCGCGGCCTTTGTCGGGCGGGCCTGGCTCCCGGCCAGGCGCCCAAACAATAAACAATTCCCCCTGGTGCGGGCAGGGGGTTCTCGCTCGCCACAGAAAGGCTCTAGGTGTATGCTGGCAAATATCTTTATCAGTTGGAAGGAGGAAGGGAAAGGGGCCCGGGCTGGGGGGACGAGAGGGCGCCGCGGCGGGCGCTGGGTCTCTTACCTTCCACCCACAGCTCCTCCACGTTGGTCTCGAGATTAGCTGCCTTTAATCCCACAGCGAAGGCCCCAAATATGAGGAGGCCCACAACCAAGAACTTGCCGCAGTTTTTTTGAATGTAACAACCCAGTTTAAATAAGAGTCTCTGAAACTTCGCTCTCAGCCACAGCGGCGCTTTCCGGCCAGTAGCTTTCCCCTGAGGATGAAGCAGAAGGGAGGAGTGAGCGCTGGGGAGTCGCGGCCCGCGCGCCCACGCCCGCTTGCGCGCACCCGCCCGCGGATCCCGCGACAGCCGTGGGGAGGAGGGGGTGCCCTCGGGCCTGGATCCCAGGCCCGCCCGGGGTAACGCGAGTGGCGTGGGGAGGCCTGGCCGTAAATCAAAGTCGGGATGCAGCGTGGGAGCTGCACCTTGGCGACAGCAGGGGCGCCCCCACGCACGACCCGCGTAGCCTCCCCGAAGGTGTCTTGGGGGCACCGGGGAGAAGGGCTGCAAGAACAGAGGGAAGGGGAAGCCAAGGCAAACAGGAGAGAAGGCACTCAACAGAGGCAATCTTCACACGGGAGCTGGGAAGGGAGGGGCTGCGGAATCTCTGCGTTGGAGCCCACCATTTAAGAACCAGCAAACCACGGGTCGCTTCCCCGCAAGTCGAGGGCCATCCCTCACCCCTCTCCGGGTGCCCCCGCAGGGAAGGGGGCTGGGGGACGAGCTCGCTCTGTGAACAATGTATCGCGGGCTTCCCGACCCTGACCCCCGCCCGGCGTGGTAGTAAGTGGGGATCCACGTGGTGAGCGCGGCCGCCGGAGCTCACTCGCGACGCATTTCCAAAGCGTTGGGAGACGCTGTGTGAGCTGAATTAGGAAGTGGGGCAGCCATCTGTAACTTACGACAATATTTGTGATCGGAAGAGGGCGGCCACATGGATCTTTCCCTCCTCTCCCTTCCCATCTGGTTAAACGTAAAAAGTAGCCAAGTGCACAGGGGAAGGGCCCAGGCCGGCGCAGGCGGGGGTCCTGGCTGGGCTGTGGCTGCTCCCGGCGGCGGCGTTTCCCCGGCGCTGGCCGCTGCCCCGGTGGGCCCCCGTCTGGGTGCTCGCCTTCCCCGGATTCCACACATTTCAGCGAGCCTCGTAAACACAATGAACCCGGCCGCTTGGCAGACCAGCACCGCGGATTTAAGGTGGCAATTTGTTTACAACTTTCCCTTTCCCCCCAGGCTCTGAGAAGAGGTGGCTCAAAAACTAAAAAGGAAGACGGGAGATGCCCTCTTCCAAGGATAATTTTTAAGGGGGCCGAGATTTCATGCTCAACAAAAGCAAAACCCTCTGCCAAAAAAGGAAACCACCTTTATTTCGGCTCCCTCCCCCCCTCCTTTCTCCGCCTCCCTACACTCCGCCTCCCCCTCCAAGATGTTAAGAAATGTGGCAGCATTACAGGGGTTTAGGTTGCAAATAGAGGCAGGGGCGCGGGAGCAGGGGTCTCTGGGGTTGGGGGCACTGGGCAGTGCCGCGCTGTGGCCGCCCTTGAGGTGGTCCACTGTGGACCGCTTTCCAGTACTCCGGAAACGGCATGCCGGGGAGGGCGCGTACACACACACACACACACACACACACACACACATACACACACACCCTCCACCCCCTGCGGACCTCAGACAGCCCTTTCCTCCGAGGACCGGAGGGAGGGTTTGAATTTTTCAATCCCCACTTGTCTGCCTCTTTTCCTGGAAAGGTGTGTGTGAGTGCTAGCGTGCGTGCGCGCGTGCGTGCGTGTGTGTGTGTGTGTGTGTGGCGGGGGTGATCCCAAAGAGGAAGAGGAGGGAAGAGTGGGAGGAGAGGAGAAGCGTCTGAAATGCACCTTGGAAATCTGCTCCAGAGCGAAGGCGGCGTCGCAGTAGCTGGGCCGGTGCAGATAGTCCCGGTCCAGCGCGGCGTTGCGGCGCAGCCCCCCCGGTCCGTCTGCGCCTCCCGCCGCCAGCCGGCCGACCCGGGGCCCCGCTGCAGCTGCCGCCGCCGCCGCGGTCCTGGGGCTCGGCGGCGTTACCAGCCGAGGCCATGTTGCCGCCGCCGCCGCCGCCGCGGGAACCGAGGCTTCCCGGGCGGCCCGGCGCGCTGCTGCCGCCTCTGCGGGCTCCCGGCGCGCCCGGGCGCTCGGCTGGCGAGGACGCTGCTGGCCGCCGGCAGTTCGGGCTGGGGCTCCGGTTGACAGACCTGCTGCTGTTGCTGCTGCTGCCGCTGCTGCTGCTGCTCACACGGCGGGCGCTGCTGCCGCTGCGGCCGCAGCCGCTGCCGGGGAGTCAGACCCTGCGCCTTCCATTGCCACATTGCGCGGGGGTCCCGAGGTCTCTGTGGCCGCCGCTGCCCACATCCAGTTCTCGGGAGGGCGAGAGCCGGCGCGCGGAGCCAGCCTGTCCTTCCGACGCTCGCGCGGCGCTCCTCGAGATCCCCAACTCCCCCTACCCGCCCCCCGCCCCGCGCCGCGACCCCTTCACTGCAGAAAGCGCCAGCAAATCCCCGCCGCTCCCGCCGGCCTCGCCGGCTCCCTCGGCGCCTCCCGGGTCGCTCGAGCGGCCGCGGAGGGTAAGCGCAGAGCCACTGCCGCGGGGTCCGTGGGTGCCCAGTGGGTCTCAGCGCTGCCGGGCCGGGGCAGCCGCCGCCGCCGCTCCTTTCGCGGCGGCTGCTGCTGGCGGTGGCGGCTCCTGAAGCTGCTGCTCGGGCTGCTCGGGCTCTGGCTGCTGGGTTCGCGGTGGCTGTTCGGTCCCGGACTCTGCTTTCTTGTGCTCCTCGCCGACCCGCTGGACCATTCTGCCCCAGTGCAGCGCGCCTCACTCGCTCCCGGGACTTGGGGACTCCGCTCTGTGTGTGTGCAGCGGGCAGCGGCCGCAGCAGCTCCTTGATTCAATAGATGAGATGGAAGAAGAAAAAAAAGAACTCTCTCCATTTGGAGAAAGAGGAGGAGGAGGGGAGGGGGTGGAGGGGGAGAGACCGAGCGAAAGAGAAAAAGGCTGGAGCTCCCGCCCCCGGGGCTGTCAGATGGCTTGGGTTTCTGCGACGCGATTGGCTCGCGGAGGGCAGAAATTACTCAGCAAACATGACTATTATTAGCTGCTTAGCAACAGCTCACCAAAGTAGAGAGACCACCCAGGTAGGCAACCCCAGTGTGTGCATCCCCGGCTTCGGGGGGAGCCTCCGAGAGCGCCAACCTTCTCGCATGCAATACTTCCATTAAGGAATGCTCCCCCCTCCCTTTTCTTTCTTATTCTTTTTCTTTTCAACAGTGTCTTCTTTTTGTAAGACGCCTTTTGCGCGCGCACGCACACTCACACACACACATACACCCACGAGCATTTGCCTCGCGATAGACACGGGGGTAAATGTAATATTTTTTTAAGCGCTTAAACAATTTCTGAAATTCCTCAAAGAAAACCCTTTCAGAGGCACCTTGGCCTCAAGCTGCAGCAAATACTGGGAGGTCCGGCTTGAATTCCCAGGCCTGCACCAATAATGACAGGGTGGTGGATAGGGCGGCAGTGTGTGCCAGATTTTTTTTTTTTTTTCTCCTCTCTTTTCTTTTCTAACTAAAGAGAAGACTTAGGCTCTCGCAGGGAACAACGCCTCGCATTAAGATAAACAAAATGGAAAGTTAAAGAGGAGAGTAAGGACGTTGGGAAAAGCCACCCTTTCTTAAAATCCTCCCCCCCACCCCACCCCAAAACCCAAGGCAGCACAGTCCCCGTTTGAAGGAGTCAGTTTTTTAAAAATGTGGAATCCAGACACCGAAGCAATTTTGTGGAGGCAGAGGCGTTTTTATTTGAATCTTTAATGTGACATATGTAAAAGAGAAACAACAGAATCCTCTTAACAACCAGGAGCAACGGAATTGTTTCATTGAGAAAGAGAAAAAAGTTTCCCTGACTTTTCGGGGTTCATTTGGACTCCCCCTTTTCTTACCCGTATGTCCTTGTTTAAATTATTTAAAGTCCGTTTTAAACGTTTCCCCCCCCCCAAACTGGTACGCATCCTGTTATATTTAATAATAGCGTGACGTTGGGGAGAATAAAGGCTTTGATGTTGGATTCATTCGAAACAAATTGTGCGCTGATTGCGAGGACTTGTCAGTACACTGCGGCCAGTGTCACCGAGACATCCCGGGGATTCGCTTCCCGTTGGGGAAGAAAACACGCGACCCTCTGAAGTGGATCCTGCGGCCAGAGACAAATTAAACTACCTACATAGTTCCGCTTTTTATTTAAAAATGTTATTTTTGAAGAGCGTAATTTGTTTTTCTTGTTTGCAAGTTATGAAATCCACCCTGAGATAGGGACCAGACCCACAAACTCTCAATTCTGCTTCATTTTACTATTTTTCCTTTTCTTTTTTCAAAACGTGGTTGAACTGCAGAGGGGGACCCGCGCAGTTAGAAGCCGACTGCAGCCGTGAAATGGGGCAGTGTGGCTTTAAGATGCACACGGTGTGTGTTCATTGAAAAAAAAAGAAGAAAGGAAAGGAAAGAAAGAAACCCAGATGGAGGGAAAGGGGGAGGAGCGGGGGGAGAAGGCGGAGCCCAAGCGACCACGTGACCCAGGGCCGGGCCGGGGCTGCGCGCGCTGGGCGGCTGGCAGGCCTGAGCGCGCGCGCGTGCGTCCGCCTGCGCGCGCACCCGAGCTCCGGGACTCCCCGCGCGGCCCAGGCGGAGCAGGTAGGGAAGTCGGTGCGCTTGGCTCGCGCTGGGCGGACTCCAAGTCTCCAGCGCGGCCTCCCGGGAGCCCAGACGAGGCTCGCGCCCCGCCGGCGCGGACGGACGTGCCGGACGCGCCGTAGTACATTCCTGAAGGCGGTCCGGCCCCCTTACGTTGCCCAATGTCCGCGCGGCCTCCCCGCGGCCGGCCAATGGCCGAGCGCACGGGTCCCTTCCCCTTCAGCGGCCGGGTGTCCACGGCCCCGGCCCGAAGGGGACTGCAGCGGGGCGCGCAGGCCACCGGGGCAGCCCACGCGGCTCTCTCGGGGGGCTGGTCGGCAGCCCTCCCCGCCCTCTTCCTTCCTCTTTGGCGGTTCCCCCTCCCTCCTTCTTTCCCTCTCCCCTTTCTCCTTCCTCTTTCACCCCTTTCTCCTTCCTCTCTCTCCAGCCTCACCACCTTCCTTCTAGCTTTTTCTTCCCTCCTGGTTTCGTGGGAGGCCCTGTCTCCTGAATTCCAAACCAGCGGAACGTGTGCGGTACCCCGGGCGGGGAAGGGTGTCCCGTAGGATAGAGACAAAGACAGCAGAAGTGTCTGAGGGTGTTTAAGAGATCAAGAGGAGGACCGGAGTACCGGGCCAGCGCGGACATTCAAAACTCAAAACTCCGGAGGAGCACGTGATTGTGTGCGCCGCTCTGGGAGGGCTATTAAAATCCAGAAGCGAAGGCAAGCACCGTGCAATTAAAATGACACATTAATAAATAACATCGCAAGAGGTTGGGGCTCTACACGTAGCAAGTTTAATCTTGAAGCGATATCCTGATTTTTGTTATGTTTGCTAAAGAACATAAAGTAGGAAAGGAGATTTATTCCAACTTTTCTTACTGAGTGGTTCTGCAGACGTTTCAAGTCAAACTATTACATGCTTGCCGCTGGAAATTATTTTTTGGAGAGTTGGGGGTTGTACCCCTAGTTTTACGTGTCAGTCTGTTTGTATTTACATCGTGCTGTATATAGCAAGGTAATCATGTTAGTCATAGGTTGCTACGTTTGTCTCTTCAAATTCCTTTGCAGCATTTTTGACCAAAACATTAGTTGTGCCTCCCAGTCTTTTATTTACAGCAATTTCAGTTTAGCTGCTTGGATTATGGAATTCTAAAATGAAATTATAGGCTGTGTACTCATCATGGTTCCTTATTACTCTCTGCACGCAGCTGCATATCCTCTTGTGCTGACTGCTGCTACGTGTGCACCATTTCAGTGGCAAAGCCTTTTCCACTCGGGCTCATTTCCCTTAGTTTGACTTAATTCCTAAACGTTTTGAACATTGATCTCCCGGGTTCTCAGCGCCCTCAGCCTCCTCACCCGCTGTTTGATAGGTTAACTTTTCAGCATCTCAGACAATAGTCCCGGCCTGTAAATTCTGCCGATCGGTTCCAGGACGCAGTCCCCAGCCTGGGCTCTAACAAGCGCTATCTTAATCTCCCCACCCCCACCCGCCGCTTCCCCTGTGGTCTGCTTTTTTCATACACAGAGATGAATTACTTTGAGGATCTAATTGGCCTTGTTTCTGTAACGTTTTAAGAAAGGGAAGAGGAGCCAGTGTAAAAGCCTGCTCGACTTGGGTGGTCAGGGCTGAGGCTGCCCCCAATTTGCCTCATTGCTGATGCATGCGAGTGCGACATTCCCAGCGATAATGTTGTTCCTAATCAATCTGCCCTTATTTACATTTGTAAGCGTTGCCGGCTTTAATATGCATGCCCTGTGCAGGGGACCGCTGCGCCACACCGGGTTTGTTAACTTCAACTAACCATAAGAATGCTCCAGACCTGAGATGAGGCTGGCTGGAGGAGCCAGGCCTGTGAAGGTGTCTGCTGGGAAGACAGTCCCTTTACTGGCCTGTCTGCAGCATGGCTCCCCTCCTGAGAGTTACCAAATAAGCGAGAGCTTGGGGCCTTTTCAACCGGTAGGAGTTGCTGGCCCTCTTTGGAGCAACCCTTGAGTGTTCTGTTTCCCCTTTCCAAGTAGAGGGGAATGGATCATCTCAATGCATCACTTGTCACTTAGGTCTTCCCACCATGCTCCAAGACTTCATAGGACTCTGTAGTTTTCAGATTTCCTTAAACTTTTAAAATATGAATATGAAAAATATTTCCCCTTCTCTGCTCCAATACTTAAAATATCTGTGGCCACACCACACACATCTCAAAAATGACATCCGATTATCTGAGTGATAACATTGAAATGAAACATCTGCCCTTTGTATTTGGACATTCCAATGATAAGCAATTGTGGGAGCTGGACTTGGTTGACTAATGAGAAACCATTGTGAGATTTCACTTTTCACTGGTTTCTCAGATCCAGTTAAAGGGATCTTTAAAATCTAGTGTAATTTAGCTACTTTTTGCAAAGTTGAAATGAAT